ACGTGAATGAGTAGTACACGCCTCAACAATATTGATCCACAAAAGAAATTTTTATTAAGACGATTATATTTGTAATCATATCACAGCGTTCCTAGGATTACCATAGTTACTTGTAATAACAAAGCAGATTGTCTATTGAACTAAAATATAACTTTGTGTTTGTTTAACTGTCCAATTTTCGAAACTAATTACATTCGTTGGTTGTCTGAACATGTACCTAAATGGTTGCAAAAACAAATAAAACCAAACGACCCAATAAGAGTAGATGATAAATATCCAATATCCTCTGTCGCTAAGCACATAGTTGAAACATTTCGTAAGATTGATCCTAACAGAACTTCTGTGGTGTTGTACAAAAGTGTAAAATAGTATACTAAGGTTTATTGAAGCCCCAGCCATAACAAGATTCAAACCCCCTTTTTGTATTCAGAAACAGTTTGTTCTCACCTCAGACCTACCCTGGTAATATTAGCTTATTATCCAGAGTGATGAGGTTTCCAACTATTATTCATATTATCAGTTTAGGGGTTGTGGAAATTGTTAAGTTTTTAATTGAAATCATGAACCGATTGATGTTAGACCACCATTGAAAACCTGGAAGCACTGGACGGCCATATCGTCTTACTTTGGGACCACTCAATAGTGGGCATCCACTATCCCACTCGCGGGATTCGAACCCAAGTCCTTCAGTCTCGAGCGCGAACGCTTAACCTACTGGACCACTGAGCCGGCATCCAGTGGTGCTAATGTCTAACGTCAACCAATCCACGAAATCGCGCGACCATCTTCCATTGTACTGAGGTAGAAACCTGTCTCTGATCGACACGGATTAGCTCCACTGGTCACGGCTTCTCATCAGAACTCCGTGGATTGATTGAGGTTAGGCATTAACACCATTGGATGCCGACTCAGTGGTCCAATAGGTTGAGCGTTCGCGCGCGAGAATGAAGGCCCTGGGTTCGAATTCCGTGAGCGGGATTGTGGATGAGCACTGCTCAGGAGTCCCTCAATAGAACGAACCGGCCGTCTTGTGCTTCCAGGTTTTCAATGGTCGTCTAACATCAATCGGTTCATGATCTCAATCTAAAATATTACTCATATTATTTTCTTCATTATTTTTGTCTCCTCTTACCCTCTAGTCTAGTTGACCTTTTATTTTAATATATAAATGTTCTTGACAAGTATATGAGTGATCAGATGGTTCGAAATGTGTTACGCTAATATATCACTTAGTTCTTATTACTTTCGCCTTCTTATTACACTATCCAGATTTGTAAAAGGGACTAATTACATTCGTTGTACTAAAGCAAATCACTAAATTAATAATTTGAACATCTGTTAAACGATGAATAACTGAATCAGTGTTTAATTGCATTTTTTAAAATATATTCGATGGTAAGATAATAAAAAGCAGTATCTTTATCGATGAACAAGAAGGAGTAATTTGGACCTATCGATTTTCACATGACGATACATGCATGATATAATGGGGCTATCAAATTCCAGACAAGTGATAGCTACAATCGTTTTGCTAAAATATGGATTTTCTTTCCAGGGAATGAGGCACACGCCATTGGTGTAAAAATGTGGCTTTAATTTCATTGAGACAAATATACATGTATATGAATGAGTGTTCAATTATCCTTCGATTTAGTTGATCGATAGACAGCTTCCTTCACACTTACAGTCTTCCCAGTCAAGTAGCTGGTTAGGCTCGTGAAAAGGAAGCTCTTGTATCAGTATCAGAGCCCAACACTGTACACTACGACAGTGTATATTGGGAACTGTGGGTTTTCAACAGACATCGTTCTTGAAAGAGATATTATAACTGCAGAAACTGGTACTTGAATGGAAAAACACTGAGATTCGCTCAGTGAAAAGAAGAGAACAAATTAAGATTTTATCCGCACTCCATAAACAGGATAACAAATACTTTTTTCAAATACACTCAATTATATAGTGACTTGACTTGTATTGGATGTTTAGTTAGTAATATTACGACTACCACTGAACTCATGGTCCTGGGTTTGAATCCTGAATACGTGGTTATGGATAGGCAATACTAGGAAGTCAAAAACAGCCGTCCAATGCTTCCGGGTTTTCAACTGAGATCTAGTTAAAATCGGTTCGCAACTTTAACAGTTAAAGTATCACTGACAGAAGAAACACAGAAAATCACTACTACACAGAATTACCAAAAAGTATGTGTATTATACTGGACGAAGTTCACATTAAGTTAATACAAAGAGTATCATTCTAAATAAATGTCACACTAAAATATAACGAATATTATACGGAACAATTTTCACACTGAATTACAAATGGAAGCATTATTGAATACAGATGATGCTGGGTAAAAATGTGTTTCTGCTTTTTTATCCTCTACTGACACTAGGGAAACTCATTTCAAGTTCCGTTTATGATGCATTTTGATCGCGAGATGAAATTAATAAGATGTATTATCAATAAGTCGAAATAATGTAATAATAACGACAGCGCAAAAGACTAAACATTGACGGTGTCGTTCGTGAAGACAGAAATAATAGGTATGTAAGAAAGAATTCTGAAACTCAAGATCTAGAGTAAGTTATTGAGTGAATGAATCGGGTCCATTGTGACTGGTTGTGATCCATGCCATTAAAAAAATCCGACCATTGATCACGGTTATTAAAAAGATCCTAACTAGCTAGACTGTAACTACCAACATGGTTCAGATCAACAGTCAAGTTAACTGAGTCCCTCCTAGCTTTCGTCAAACCTACTCCAATTCCATCTAACTTTGCATGTTGGGTTAGGCAGTGGTTAGACATACTTATTACTGGTACTAACCACTTCAATCGACTACGAATTACGATCTTATCAAGCAACTTGCCACATTTTCCTAGTTTCCTGCTAACTCCGTTATTTCATGATACGCAAGTAATGTTTCGAAAATACTTATTACCAAAGACTTCCACTCCACGTATATCTTATAGTTTCCACAAAGATGGTGTGTGTTTTAGGATAAGAAATAACTCATCTTGGTTAGAAATGATGATGACAAAACAACTACCTAATTTCCACTTTTACTAGTCATGCTTGTTTTCGCTGAAAATTAAACTAAATAAAACAAGTCGATAAGTATGCACTAGATTGAAAAAGACAATAATATTGATTTTCTGAATGTTATATAGCTTCTTTCACGAGATAACCCAAGGTAATTTGTGATAATAATAGGAAAAGTTCATATCTTGATATGTGCCTAGTGAAGTAAGATATGATAGGCCACTAAGTAAGGACAAACGAACAATTAAGTTACTATTTACTTTGCTATTTCCTTACCGGTAGTGATTTATACTTTTAAGTCAATAAGTGTAGATTGCTTGTAATTGTGTTGGATAAAGTACTGTTTTGTTTATGCTCTGATTCTGTGTAATCGGTTGCGAGCCACGTGTCTGATGTAATGTGATCCCACTAGTGTTCAGCTTATCGATCGAGTATCCAGCCTAACAATAACAAACATCTCGGTCATCAGTCTTATTATTGTATAACATTAGTATAACATAACAGACAGAATATGTTTTTGTTCTACCGTCTTGCCAATCTCTTCATTATCTATTTTGAAAAGCCATTCGTTTTAGTGTGGTACTCCGCAGCAGTGAATATCCACGATCTCTTACGCGGGATGCGTACCCAGTAACTCACGCGCGAACGTTTAGCCTCTAGACCACTGAGCTGGCATCCGACGATGTTGATGTTACAACTTGTGGCCTGTGTGCTCTGTTAATGTATAGGGTAACGATACTGTCAATTAGAGAGCAGTGAATTACCGATCGGACCAATAACATCTAAAACCCGTACGAACAGTCTAGAGTCCATATCGGTCCTTCTTCCTGCATAGCCCTGCCTATTGAGTTCAGGACACCAATCTCAGCCTCTGCGATATGAATAATATATTTCGAACATACTGGGTTTATATAAAAACCAAACAGACCACATCACACCATAAAATAGGAAACAACATTTGTACAAGATTTGGCCAAATGTGGCTGTGAGTGTGAGAGGTAGTGATTAATAAACAGTGCATAATTCAAGAATGGTAAATCGTATAATAATAGTTCATAGGTCAAAATAAAGCTCATAATAAGAGGGACATGAATCTGTATAGTTTAGTTATTTAACAATTATACGATAAAATTATGCGCATAGTATTGGTTCATAAATGGATTCCAAAAGTTATCATTTATTATGCTTATCGAGACATAACAGTTAACATCTAACTTCAATCGATCCATAATCTTGAGCCTAAAATAAAAAAGTTTCTGCAAAACGCTTGTACCTAGAAGTTAAGGTACTAGAATAGAAAAAAACGATTGCTTTAAATGAGAAGAACTGAGCCAAAATATCAAAGTATGAGACCACTGAACATAACCCAGTTGCAATTCTGCTCACTAAAATATTACTGATTATTCATCTAGGTTAGAATCTGGAAGATGTAGATCTCTTATCGGATACTGTTACTTTAGACTATCAAGTCAGAGCACAATGTTTCAGATCGTCAATTTTAATCAATATCTACCGTTGAGTTGACTCTAACTATATATTACTGTTGACTTACTGCTTCATGACTAACTTGGTCGATTCCATCTGTAGTGAATTATCATTAAAACTTCTGAATCATTTATGAATTTACAGATATTAGTGAAAAAGCATATCAAACATTGACTGGTTACCTAAAATGTATTTTTCTTTTATAATTTACATTAAGAACTGACCTTAATTAGACAACTATTGAAAACCAGGAAGTTATTGGATAACTGCTTCATCCCATGAAACTATTCACTTGTATTCATCTACGTACGATCCAATCAAGGAATCGAACTGGAAACCTTCAATTCTATTCAACTGTCCGGTGCTTCCTAATTTTTTTTTACTCCTTACCTAGTTATAGTTATTTTGTAATATAAACTATGCAATATATATTCTTTGCTCTAATCACCTTTATTTATTGTTTAATTTAGCCAATGTATCAACCTTATTATGATTTTCATAATGATACTATACATATTGCTATGCTATTAGCTGATGGTATTGACAATTGTTATCAAGCTGAAACACAAATTAAATCAATTTTATTCCATCAAAAAAGATGGTATCCATCTAAAGATGATTGTTGTCATTTTAAACATTTCACACATATTAATTCAAATTGGTTAACAGCAATTGATCGTGTTCAATCATTTAATGAAGCTAAACGTCAACGATTTCCGATTGTATTTCATCTTATTGTTGATCAATTAACATATGAATTTATGAATAGATTAATGTCTGATTGGGGATTAGATGGGATCAGTGTACAATTTTATCCAATTAAAAACTATGAAGTAAGTTGATTGTAGTTAAACTTATCAAACATTATCATAGTAATCCTTTATGCTTTATTCAATTAGTTTAGACATGAACGAATTATGTTGATAAGATTTTAAATGGTAAGATCAATGCATAAGTTCACAAATTACCAGTCATAATTTTCTCCAGTGAATTTCTCCTACGAGACTCTAATTTATGGATGACCTTTGAACGAAACTTCAGTGACCTTTAGAAAGATTCGGCCAATCAACAAACAGTCAGCACAGAGTAAAAATATATTATACAAAACCAAGGAAATAAAGTGGATACACTTTTTATACGTGGTTCATAAAATTGTCAAGGTTAGAAAGAGGTTCAGAGGTTCTAAAATCGTAATGCATGCAGTAGAGGAAATCATCCATACGGCTACAGAAGTTAGCCTCTGGAGCGATGATAAAGTCTCAAAATCTCTTTCAGCCTCGACCACATAGTTTCAATATTGTTTATGTACACTCCGGTTGTTGAGTGCACAAAATACTTCTTGTGGATAATGACACGATGCATAAAATCAAGCCTACGTAGGAGTCTGTACGCTCTCCAGACATCCGTATATATTGTAGTACCTGGCTGCCACCGGTGTTACTGGTGCTTTTATTATCCAGTTCGTGATAATTGTCATAATTTATCATAGGAAATATATGTGGGGTTTTCATCACAAACTAACATCAGCTATAATGCCAGAAATTTATTTAGTCAAATAGATGAAAGGCTTTCGCGTTAAAATCGAGATCTGTTATCTTATACCAGATTGATTCGTCCACAAATTATAGTCTCGCCGTTTTTTTTTGATGGAGTTTTGTTCTCTGAGCTGGATGGTTTGGTCGTGGAGCTTTCATCGTTCTTCTGAACGACATCATCAGCACAAACTTCAGATTGAAGTGAAGTGTTCGATTTTCTCCATATGTGTTTCACAGCTTGTTCTGTGCACCTCGATGTTGATTGGTTCTTGTTGACCTTAAATTTATCATTGTTCACTTCTTTGTTTAGGTTGTGTCTCCCATTGTTTTGATTTTTGTTCTTATATATATGCATGATTTTTCTGATTGGTTGATAAATTGGATTGATTTCAATATGTTTGTTGATTGCTGATTGACCTGAGTGCCAGGCTTCTAGAAATTCTCTGGTGTTTTTGGAGTTTCCTCTGTCTAAGATTTCTACATTTTCCCAATCGAATGAATGTCCGTAGTTATCCACGTGTATTGAAATAAGTGAAGAGATATCATGGCGTTTGACTGCTAATTGATGTTCATGTAGGCGTAGGTGGAGGGGGCGTCCGCTTTGTCCGATGTAGTGTTTGTCGCAGTTGGTACAATTTATTTTGTAGATAATGTTTGATTTGTTCTCCTTTGTTATTTCATCTTTTGGTTTGCATAAGATTGATTGTAGTGATTTTGTTGGTTTGTGTGCCACTCCTATCCCGAAGGTTTTCAGCAGTCTCGTTGCAGTTTCTGATATTCCTTGTATGTACGGTAGGGTGATCCTTTTACTGATTTTTGTGCTTGACTTGGGTTGTGATGCTGTGTGCCGTTGGTGCTTTTTGATGAAATTGATTGGGTAGCCGTTCTTTTGGAATATGTCCTTCAGGTATTTCTCTTCATTTCTTCGTGCTGCCAGTGTGCTGCAGTGTGTTCTCGCCCTCTTGAACAATGTGTGTACGCAGTTGATTTTGTGAGCCCTTGGGTTGTTGCTGTTGTAGTTGAGAATTTGATCTGTATGGGTTGGTTTCCTATATACTTGAGTTTCCAGTTTTCCTGTATCAGTTCTAGTGATCAATATATCCAAAAATGCTAGTTGGTTGTTTGACTCCTGTTCCATTGTGAACTTGATGTCATTGAAGACGTTGTTGATCAATTTGTATGTGTTTTCCAGTTCATCCTTTTTGACGATGACGAAGGTGTCGTCTACGTAGCGAATCCAAATTTTTGGTTTGATCACTGGTAATATCGTGGCTTCTAGTCGTTGCATCACTGCTTCTGCGATCAGTCCTGATATTGGTGATCCCATTGGTGTCCCTTTTGTTTGTTTGTAGATTTTGTTGTTGAATTGAAAATATGTCGTAAGGCATAAATCGATGAGCTCCAGTAGACTTTGAATTTGAAGCGTCGTGTATTTGGTGAGATTTGGGTCGTTGTTGAGTAGTAGGGATATAGTTTCTTTTGCTAACTGTGGTTCAATTGAGGTGAACAGTGCTGTTACGTCGAAGGATATCATGAGTTCGTCGTTGTTGATTTGAATGTCCTTAATTTGGTCCAAGAATTGTGTTGGGGATTTGATGGAGTGTTTGGCTGAGTCTACTAGATGTCTCAGTATTCGTGAAATTTCTTTTGATAAATTGTACGTTGGCGTTCCAGGGAGTGCTACTATTGGACGTAGTGGAATGTTCGGTTTGTGTATTTTGGGCCTGCCGTAGAATCGAGGGAGTACTGGTCCACTGGATTTCATTCTCCATTGGTCTTGTTTTGTTATTTCTCCTGCTTTGACTAGCTTGTTTAAAGTCTTTGAGATTTGGTTGTCTAATTTTTTGACGGGATTTGTGTCCATCAGTTTGTATGTGCTCTTATCTTTGAGTAGCCGAAGAACTACTCAAAGATAAGAGCACATACAAACTGATGGACACAAATCCCGTCAAAAAATTAGACAACCAAATCTCAAAGACTTTAAACAAGCTAGTCAAAGCAGGAGAAATAACAAAACAAGACCAATGGAGAATGAAATCCAGTGGACCAGTACTCCCTCGATTCTACGGCAGGCCCAAAATACACAAACCGAACATTCCACTACGTCCAATAGTAGCACTCCCTGGAACGCCAACGTACAATTTATCAAAAGAAATTTCACGAATACTGAGACATCTAGTAGACTCAGCCAAACACTCCATCAAATCCCCAACACAATTCTTGGACCAAATTAAGGACATTCAAATCAACAACGACGAACTCATGATATCCTTCGACGTAACAGCACTGTTCACCTCAATTGAACCACAGTTAGCAAAAGAAACTATATCCCTACTACTCAACAACGACCCAAATCTCACCAAATACACGACGCTTCAAATTCAAAGTCTACTGGAGCTCATCGATTTATGCCTTACGACATATTTTCAATTCAACAACAAAATCTACAAACAAACAAAAGGGACACCAATGGGATCACCAATATCAGGACTGATCGCAGAAGCAGTGATGCAACGACTAGAAGCCACGATATTACCAGTGATCAAACCAAAAATTTGGATTCGCTACGTAGACGACACCTTCGTCATCGTCAAAAAGGATGAACTGGAAAACACATACAAATTGATCAACAACGTCTTCAATGACATCAAGTTCACAATGGAACAGGAGTCAAACAACCAACTAGCATTTTTGGATATATTGATCACTAGAACTGATACAGGAAAACTGGAAACTCAAGTATATAGGAAACCAACCCATACAGATCAAATTCTCAACTACAACAGCAACAACCCAAGGGCTCACAAAATCAACTGCGTACACACATTGTTCAAGAGGGCGAGAACACACTGCAGCACACTGGCAGCACGAAGAAATGAAGAGAAATACCTGAAGGACATATTCCAAAAGAACGGCTACCCAATCAATTTCATCAAAAAGCACCAACGGCACACAGCATCACAACCCAAGTCAAGCACAAAAATCAGTAAAAGGATCACCCTACCGTACATACAAGGAATATCAGAAACTGCAACGAGACTGCTGAAAACCTTCGGGATAGGAGTGGCACACAAACCAACAAAATCACTACAATCAATCTTATGCAAACCAAAAGATGAAATAACAAAGGAGAACAAATCAAACATTATCTACAAAATAAATTGTACCAACTGCGACAAACACTACATCGGACAAAGCGGACGCCCCCTCCACCTACGCCTACATGAACATCAATTAGCAGTCAAACGCCATGATATCTCTTCACTTATTTCAATACACGTGGATAACTACGGACATTCATTCGATTGGGAAAATGTAGAAATCTTAGACAGAGGAAACTCCAAAAACACCAGAGAATTTCTAGAAGCCTGGCACTCAGGTCAATCAGCAATCAACAAACATATTGAAATCAATCCAATTTATCAACCAATCAGAAAAATCATGCATATATATAAGAACAAAAATCAAAACAATGGGAGACACAACCTAAACAAAGAAGTGAACAATGATAAATTTAAGGTCAACAAGAACCAATCAACATCGAGGTGCACAGAACAAGCTGTGAAACACATATGGAGAAAATCGAACACTTCACTTCAATCTGAAGTTTGTGCTGATGATGTCGTTCAGAAGAACGATGAAAGCTCCACGACCAAACCATCCAGCTCAGAGAACAAAACTCCATCAAAATCATCCACCTGAGCTACAAATCTTCTCCACCATAGTCTCGCCGTTTTATTTGTTATAGCCGCTCAATTATCACGTTTTGTACAAAATCCCTTGTGAACCGACCGTACGTTAGCATTAAGCACTGAAGTTGAAATCTCTAAAACCCTTCTGATTGGCTCGTCCATAAATTAGAGTCTCGCCGACGAATATCTACACTAAATTCCCTCCCAGTGTTTATTCTACAGGACTTCAACACAACTCAGATCAAGAACATGTGATTAGCCTGGCCACAACGTAAATATATTTCCACACCAAAACCCGACACAATCCAACAACAGTGAACAATCAATAATAAGTGAGTAATTATAATAATAAGGATAGGGGAATAAATATAACTCATCTGACACCTGTCAGACTATCTACATGTCGACTAAACAGACGACCAATCATTATCATTCTCGCCCAAACATCACAAAACCTGTCATTAAAAGTTGTTGTTTTTTAGTTGACATAATTAATTACTTTAGAGTTGACTAGGTGTACTAAATGTTGGATTTGTTTAGAACATTGTCAAGTCAGTTAATGAGATATATGGGCAATTTATGACTATTTAAATCCCGAGAAATAGTGTGGAATCTGCTACTTATGTTAACGTACTTAAGTAATATGTAACACCAACCAGAAGTGGAACGACTGGCAGCAGACGATTAAATTAAAGAGAACAGGACTGTAAACAAAAAGCAATTGTAATAATAACAAAATTGAAAGAATCATGAAGTATGTCAAGGACGATACAAAGAAGACATGCAAATAATGTATTCAATAAATGATTTTCATATTACGAAGGTACTCTGTAATTTCGCATCAATCAATAAAGTGACTTTCCCTACCTGAAGTCTTTGTTCACTACAACGGTACCTAGAAACCGAGTAGTTTCTCTTTTGTTGACTGTTGTTATCTACAGTTCAAATTCGTTATCTGAATGATTATTGAAAGTCTGATCGATCGTTCAGCAGTACTTTTTATGCTAATTAGAATCTGTGAGCTATTTATACCGAAACTAGGCGATCATAAAATATTTATGAAAGACAGTTATTTTGTTTGTTACTTCTTATCCCATCCATATTTTCTAGTATTTTCTCATACGAGAATTTGTTGGAGTGTATTTTGAGATGGTAGTCCGAGTTTGATACTAATATACACACTTCCTATGCACTAGTCCATCCTCGTACTTGGATAGGAAAACTAAGAGTGAGTGGAAAGCTTTAATTAGCAAACCTTAATCAAGATATATACACAAACTCATTTCTTAATATAGACAAATTTCCATCAGGAAATCAAGGCAACTTTTCAACCACTAGCGTATGTCTGTTTTCCTCAGATAATTAAGCTAAATATTAACCACCTGCGTGTACCAGTCAGCAGAATGTAGAAAATTAAACAGAAAATAACCTTATTTCAGAGTAGATGAGTCAGGTATTCTATATAAGTTTCAGTAAGTTAATGAAAGTACTTTTCAGTGTTTTTACTTACATAATTGTCTGGTGTTTAAAAAGTCATTTAATGAAATTTATTGAGAAATAACTTCGTAGCAAATTTCCCTACAGAAAGTTTAAGACGCTTTCAGCTAATATGAAAGAGCATATAATGTCATTATGTAGTAATGAGGAAAGCGTCTAAGACACACACACACACACACACGATACTCATTGGTAATCTAACGTATTAAGGATTAGTTGTTTCGTTTGTTTAGTTTTTATCTAACACAGACCATGTTACTGGAGTTGAATTGAGTAAAAAGGTGATTTGATCATTGATAAATGTTGGAGTATAATAAGAAATGGCAGCTCGATAAATAGACTATAATGGTATATCACTCAGTTTCCAACGTGTATAATTACAAACAACATGAAGGTTATGTAGGAACATTTATGAAGTTAGTAGGTATCATTACCAAAGCATTGGGTAGATTGTTATAAATAAAACTTTATATATATATATATATATATATATATATATATATATATATATATATATATATATGATTATTTATTCTCTGAAAAAGTGGCTTACATCAAGTTACGAAGCCTCAGAAATATAATTTTTTTCTGCCCACTGGGATACAACAAAAATATATTTATTATTAACTTTATATCTGATACTCAATTTATTTGAAACTATCAGGTCCATCCTTGGCACTGATACCTATTGTCTATTGAACATTAATTAGTAGGAAAGATGGTGTACAAAAAAACAAGCAAATAGTGAATTCACGGTGCTTTATTGTTATATATGCATTAATCGAGCTGATTTAGCGTGCTTATTTTGACGATTGTTATTTCAGAGTACACATGGATTATCACTATTTTTACTCTTCTTTTTTATCAGGCACAGGTCAAATCATTTAAATCTGGACATTACTCTGGACATAAAAGTTATCTCAAATTATTAATTACACAAATTTTACCTACTGAAATCAAGAAAGTAAGCAATAAAAGTTGTTTGTTAGTGGTTTAAGCATATTATTTTAGAAAGATACAAAAAAATATTTTAGTATTCAGGATTGTAGAGATATGTGACGGTCCTCTCTGTCGTTTCGGCCATTTTATTGTTGTGTCTGTTATGATTTATAGCCGCTAACCAATATAACGTGACAAAAACACCAACCGGAATCCGTTCAGCACCAATGACCTTGGATCGCAGGATTTTTTCTTTGCCCTACCCGTCGAGACCAGAATAACAGTTTTCAGCTTCCACTACACGAATATTATATTTCAAAGGTGTGTAGTTCATATACAGACATACCATAACAATTGTACATGATCAAGCTAGAAAATGGCTGTGAATAAAGGAAGATGTGAGTAATGGACTGGAAGCAAATTAGGAACAGTATATCATATAACAGTAGTTAATGAGTCAAACGAAAGCTCATGATAAAAGGAATAAATACATATGATAATTTAGTTGCTCTATAATTATACAATGAAAATATATGTATAACAATAGTCCATAAATTAGTCCTGGAAGTCACCATTCCTTTACTCTTCTTTGTATATAACAGTATCGAATCGACTCGACCATTATACAAATGGAAAAATGTATACTTTATGTTTTAAAACTCATAATGTTTAATCATGAACAGAAGTCAATATAACACAACAATCTTTTGTTTAAGGACGTCAATTCGATGATTTACCAGATTTAAATTTGTTCCTCTCAGTTCCACTTGTATGCCGATAAAGAATCCTCTAGGTGGAATACGTTCATTTCACCATGTTTATTTTTCTACATAACTAATCACTATACAAATACAACAACAATTTATAATGTAATGAATAACAAAATGGCTATGTACTTGGTCAAACAGCTACCCACTGATGATATTAAACTTACTTATCATTCTATCCTCGAGACGTGAATGCTCATATTTTGATCTCAATTTGGTTTTTGACTGTTCATTATACCAAACTAATTCTTTATTTCAATACTGAATATTAACCAAAATCATTTTATTTCGTATATTATTATTAAAAAAATTAGGTTATTGTACTGGATGCAGATATATTATTGAATGATGACATATCAAATCTATGGAGCATATTTGACGAATTCAGCAAGGATCAAGTAAGAATAACTTAATCATTAGATTAATTTTTTCGTATGGTTATTTTAATAGTTGAATTCATAAGTTGATGTAAGTTAGAACACCGTGGAAAATCTGGAAGCACTGGGCGATCGTTTCGTCCAAGTATGAGACTCCTAAGCAGTGCGCATTCATGATCCCTCACTTGAGATTTGAACCCAGGACCTTCGGTCTCATACGAGAACACTTAAGCTATAGGCCATTGAGCTGGCATCCGATGGTGTTAGTGTCTAGCTTCTATCGATCCATGGATGGCTGCGCAACCATTCATCCATTGTCCATGGTAGATACTTGTCTCTATCCGACACGGATTGGACTCCATTGGTCATAATAGTTTTTTGTAACAGTAAATTTTATACAATTAATTGTTTTATCTGTTTGTTAAATTTTAATAATATTTGAACGAAGACACTTAACAATATGCAGTTATAGACAATTGTTAAATGGAGATCATTTCAACGACTATTCATACCTATTCATCAACTTCTATTCTGTACGGATCATGTCAAATTAAAATGAAAAAAATAATAAAATCATACACAGTAATCATTTTCTACTCTATAAAGAAGTTAATGGTAATCAACAACTTAATTGCGCTGTATACATACTCCATGTTGACTTCATTTACCAAATGTTGCCAAGATGATATAACGGATGGTTTGAAATATCCTCTCTTTCTTTCTGCTGTGTACTACTACGCAAGGTTGGATACCTGAACGGTACACAATACAGCGATTAGTTCATGATATACCACATATACGATCCATGACTAAGAATAGAGGACTATAGTAAATGTAGATAATACTTTATTCCACACAATTTCAAGCTGTCACTATCAGTGAGTTTGGAGTAGAAATCAATTACAGGAAAGGAAATCACAAGGTAACACTCGGTAGAATAAGTGCATGTTTATCCATCCCCAATGACCGATCACATTTTACTCTCACTACCACATATCACAAGAATTTGAAAACGTTATGTAAAATTCACTTTGAAAAAAATATTAAGAACTAAGTTTGTTAACAAACAAATTTAATTATGAATAATGAATCATAAAAATGTTTATTGTCGAAAACCTTAGGATATGTTACATAATACTAGCTACACTTCATGGAATCAATATAGCCTCAAAAGTTGGATGTTAGCAAATGTCGGTAATGTTAGTAGCAAAGTCCCAATACATCTGATCTCAACACTTCATAATCACTTAATCAATCTTAGCCAACAAAGAAAGCAAGACAGCTTTAGGTATAGTTAAGCAAAGAGAGAGATGTTTCAGTAGACCAACTGAAGAACTGATCACATCAACACGAGGAGTATGACAAGATGTCAAAGCTCACTTATAGTTTGTTAATCTATTTCCAAGTATTTTAGTTCAATAAAATTGACAAAACTGGAATCATACTTTGAACATCTACTGAACTATGTATTTTTTTAGGACTTACTTATCGTTAAAAGATTATTGACTTGGACTAATCATTACTGAAAATCAGAATGTTGAATATTATTTTTATTGACGTTTGTTTCCTCTCCTCGTTCTTGTGTATACAAGACAATTTGAAAATTGCCTACTTTTAAATAATTTCATAGTGTATCGGTATTGCCGCGGAACAGAATCCAACTTTCTACAGCAATATGGGAAAAAGGTTTTGGCCAGCATTGGTAAGTCTAGATTTTTTGATTGGATCACTGTTTGTAGGTTCGATTATAAAGTGAATATATAGATGCATCTATATATATTTCTTTACGTTAAATTTATCGTAAATGGGAATAAGTATTCATTTATTAACCCTATAATAAATAGTTATGTCTTCTTAAGCACAATATGGTGTAGTGAATTTGAATTGTTCCACATAATACAGGAATTAATCTTATTCACCGAGAGATTCGTAAATATATAATGTGTCCACTTAATAAATTGTGATACCATCAAATAAACATGGATAACTAATTAGTATAAAATACTTTCCAGTGATTGTTTATCTATTATCTACTTGTATTGAATATCACCTTGTGATAAAGCGACTCATCATCATTGAAATTGACTCTAGTCAACTATAGAATATAAAATATGAGTACTTAGACGGAAAGTAACTAAAAATCAGAGCTTTGATCTGATTCCTATTTCTCAGCATGTTTCACGTTCACGATTTGTATATTAGTAATGGTTTATTTTTTTAGTTAGCAGGAAGTTGATGTCGTAAGCGTTCATAGTACCAGACATCATGGATCGCTACATATGAAATTATATTTAAAATAATTAAACTAACATTTCTTTTATGAAAGCTGAGCTGTTCACTTTCTTTCATATGTATAAGTATGTAGTTGTGATGTGTTACTCATGTCGATAGACATGATCAAAAGTGGAATGCCTGGTTGAGAAGATCAAATTAAAGAGAACGGAAATATGAACATTGAGTAAGTGTAATATCGATAAAAGATCAACCAAGTTTGAAACAATTGATGGAGGATTTGCAAATGAAGTATTCAATGTATGGTTTCCACAGTTTATCAAACAACTAAGCAATTAAGCAATCGATTGACTGTCTCCACCTGAGTTCTTGTTCTCCAGATAGTGATAGTAGAACAGTGCGTTCATTTGTACAATTATTGATTCAGATTAGTTGACTAACAATACTTTTCGGAAAGATTTAATACTTAGTATTGCATAAGAAGTCATATATTGTTAATTTCAATGTAAATATTGAATAAAACCTGTTACGTGGAAAACTATAGGCAGTTTGAAACAGATGCATTTCGACGAGAATAATGAACTGTTGGGATCTACTAATGATCTAATGCTATACATATAATTTTGTTGTATAATTATTAAGTAGCTTAACTAAGCATATTCATATTCCTCTTATTGTAAGCTTTATTTTGACTTACAGACTATTATAATACGACTTACTGTTCTTAAGTTATGCCCGGTTTATTAATTACAGTCTCTCACAATCACAGCCACATTTGGCTTGATTTTGTACAAATGTTATTTTCTATTTTATGGTGTGATGTGGTCTGTTTGGTTTTTATATAAACCCAGTATGTTCGAAATATATTATTCATATCGCAGAGGCTGAGATTGGCGTTCTGAACTCAATAGGCAGGGCTAGGCAGGAAGAAGGACCGATATGGACTCTAGATTGTTCGTACGGTTTTACGCGTCTCTGGTTCGGTCGTTTATATATTCATAGGACACAAGGCCACAAGCTATAACAGACATCTCAATAATAAACTGATTTATAGTTATTATAATAAAAAAATGATGTTGGAGAGTAGTACCATTATCACAAGATCTACATCCAGATAAAAGTCCATAACCAGTGTGCATGATGCCATTTATTGAAAGATTGTACTTTGGTATGTTGATGTATGTGCGAGATAGTTTCTAATACATTTATATTGAATATAAAAAGCATTTTGTAATTGTTTTGTCCTATATTTTGATACATATCGGCAGAGGATTCTATTCCCTATCACAGAATACATCAAATAATTTATATGCCTTGTAAAAATTTCATATTACATTCATACCAATAATCAAAAATTTAACCTATTCGTTTAAAGCTAGATAACTATCGATAACCTGTAAGCACTGGATGGTCGTTTCGTCCTAATATCAGTCAGTCAGTCAGCTACAACGTAGGACCAGGCACATATGTGCATCGGTCCAGGTTGCCATACCTCATTAGCACAGCAAGATGAACACCGGATTCATAGGAGTGGTTAGGTCAAAGGTTGCAATAAGGATATAGTATAGGAAGAAAGAATTAGTTCGTAGACAGAAAGAATGAAGTGATTTTAGTCTCTTAGTTTAAGGGAAGACAGGGAGTGTATACACCGACGCCACTGTGATCGATTCTGAGCCATGTCACCAAGAGTCTCCAACCATTGGTTACGAAAGTCACGCGGACCCCAACCAAGTAGTCTGCATCTACCAACGTGGCTCAGACTAGAAGTTAGTGACTTCAAGCACTGATGCCACGTTTTGGTTTGACCGCCCCTAACTTTCTTCCAACCATTTCCAATACCGGATAGCATTGCACGTCGTGGTAATCGGTGTTCAGGCATACGTAACACGTGGCCCAACCATCTCAGTCGATGAAGATTCATAACCTCATCAACTGATTTACCATCATTCCCTAATACCCTGCGTCTAACCTCACTATTACTTACCCGGTGATCCCAACAGATGCCAGCAATATTTCTAAGGCATCTGTGGTCAAACGCTTATAGCTTACGAGTGTCTTCTACTCTTAAGGGCCATGTTTCGCTGCCGTAAATTAAAACAGAACGAACTGCCGCGCAGTATACTCGTCCTTTTATTGATAGACGGATATCTCGCCTTCGCCAAAGGTGACGCAAGTTGGCAAAAGCCAAGCGAGCTTTTCGAATCCGTGCTGAGATTTCGTCCGATACCAACCCATTAGGGCTGATCAGACTTCCAAGATAAGTGAAGTTGTCAACACGCTCGACTATTTCACTCCCTATCCTTAGTTCAGGTGTTAACGCAGACCAGTCCTGAAGCAACAACTTGCATTTCGAGGGAGAGAAGCGCATTCCAAACATTCTGGCATTGTTGCTCAGTGCTACCAAAAGACTCTGCATTTTGTCAGTGTCTTCACCAAACAGGACTATGTCATCTGCGTATTCTAAGTCGATAAGTGGACCTCCTGGATGGAGATCAATACCCGAGAACTCAGTCGACGAGAAAGTTATTTCCATCAGTAGATATATGATGAAGTTAAACAAAAATGGGGAAAGTGGACAGCCTTGACGGACACCACTTGAGGTTGCAAAAGTAGATGACAGTTCGCCATAAGCTCTGACTCGACCAGTAGTGTTCGAGTAAAGAGCCTTTACACGGTTTATGTACTTCTGGGGTACGCCTTTCAATGACAGACACTGCCACAGAGTCTCGCGGTCTACCGAGTCAAATGCTGCTTTTAAGTCAAGAAAGACCACCATCGTCGGACGCCGATAGGTATGCCTGTGTTCTAGAACCTGACGAATGGTGAATATGTGGTCGATGCAGCCACGACCAGGTCTAAAGCCAGCTTGGTTCTCTCGAGTTTGTAGTTCACGAGTCTTAGTTAGGCGTTTGATAATTATCGAGGCCAGTATTTTAGATACTATGTTTGTTAAACTAATCCCTCTGTGGTTGTCACAGGATGATTTTGACCCTTTCTTATATATTGGGACGATAAGTGATTGCGACCAGTCAGATGGGATAAAGTCTAATTCCCAGATCTTAGCTAAAATATTAGTCAACTTAATCGCTAAAATTGGACCACCATCCTTAAAGACCTCTGGAGCCAATCCATCTGGACCAGCTGCCCTTCCTCGTTTCAGATTAACTATAGCCTTTTGAACTTCAGCAAGAGTAGGGGGACCTATTTCAATGTTCCATTCACACTGTCTGGGAATGGAGGGTAGTTGTAGAGTAGCTGAAGGCCAGCTGAACTGTTCTCTAAAATGTTCCGCCCATCGTTCTAAACGTCTGGACTGGGAGCAGATGAGAGTATCATCTTTTTCCGAAATAATCTCACTTACACTTGACTTACTAATTCCAGTTTCTTTTATTAGTCTGTAAAGCTGTCTTGTGTTCCCTATAGTCGCCGCCTTTTCCATCTCTTTTGCTTTCGTTACCCACCACTGCTCACGGTCGTTCTTTAGACTTTTTCTTAACCTAGATCTGATTTGTTTTCGCTCTTCATCATGTTCAGGACCTGATGGGACGAGTTTGCGAGAATCCATCAGTGTGACAGACCTTGAAGAAATCCACTGGTTCCTTGCAACTCTGTGGTTTAAGTCACTAATAGATGTCACTGCTGTTTCCACAGCTGATTGTATGCCCTTCCAAGCAACATCTGGGTCAGCCTCGTCTTCACAACTACCTAGGTGTGACCTCAGTTGTTCCTGGAACCTACTTTTGGTTTTCTCGTTACTCAAATCAGTTCTAACGGGTCTTTTTAATGTGGCTTTTTTGCGTCCAGTGAGGCGCAAGCAGATGCGTGCCCGTATTAGGGCATGGTCGGAGTCCAAGCAGGTACTCCAGAATGAGCGACAATCTTCTACCGACCCTCTCCAACGATGACTGATGGCAATATGGTCTATTTGAGTCCATCGTTGGTTTGGTGTAGGGGGTCGCCATGTTAGACGATGTCTCTCTTTATGCTTAAAATTTGTGTTTGCTAAAAATAAACGATTGTCTGAGCATAGTTGCAGCAGACGATCACCATTATCTGTTCGCTGTGTCGGAATACTAAAATATCCACCTAAATGCCTTTCTGTTTGGTTTAAACTGCCTATCTGAGCATTAAAATCACCTGCTACGAGTACTATGTCTGAGCGTTTAGCTTTCTGAAGAAGTTCGGACAGCTTTCTGTAAAATTCATCTTTCACATCATCTGAGCTGCAGTCAGTGGGAGCGTAGGCAGAAACGACAAAAAGGCAACGACGTGTGTCCCTATCCTTCCGAGTTCTTACGTAGCCGTTCAGCCGAACAGCACATAGACGACTGTTGACGGGGATCCACTCTAGCAGTGCTTGTTCGGCCCTCATGCTTAGTGCTATGCCTACACCTGCCAGTCCACGAGAACTTGCCATCGGGTCACCAGATACACGAAGGGTGTACCTCGTTGGCTCTCCGTTTTGCCGAGGTGAGGTCAGGTGAATGACCACACTGGAATCCTGTATGCGTGTTTCGGAGACACAGCACACGTCAATGGAAAGAGACTCTAGGGTTTTAGCCAAGGAAGCCTGCTGACCGATTTGACATAGGGTTCGTACGTTGAAGGCTCCAATGTGTAGTTTGGAGCGAGGTTTCAGTAGACCTGGGACAGTATTTTGCGCACTAGAATCGTTGGCTATGGTGACACTTGAGGTGGAAGCCGAGAGAGGAAATTTAAAGTTGAAAGTCGATGTAGGAGGAATAATAGGAATTGAAGAGGAAGGTTGATTATGAATACAGTGGTCTTGAGTGCTGTTAGAGGTATGAGGGCGGTTTTCACTTCCCGGTTGCCCACACCGTGGAAGGGTTGTTCTGGAGGTATCTGAAAAGGAATTTGGATTAAAGGTGGTCTTAGTGACCTGAGAGCGTGACCGCAGTGCCCAAGGGACAACTGCTTGAGGTCGGTCACACACGACCTTGTTATGGGTAATTTTTGTGTTAGCTCCGTACTTATTGGGACCTTACCGCCGGAGACGGATATCCGTGGGATAAGGCGAGGTGTGCATTTTTAGGGTCGACCTTTTCTAACCCCACCCCTCCTTGTGGGAAGGCAGCATCGCTGTCATGCTGGTTGTCTGAAGGAAACACCTTACTGCTGTCACACCTCTGTACAGTCAGCAGTACGACTTCGCCTTCGGACCTTGGGTTTGTTGCTTTTAGTCTTACCGCTCTTCAACCGACCTGTCTGACATGGTAGGACCTTGAGGAACGGTTGTTCCAGCCAGTATAGCTCGGTTGCTTCATCACGATAGGCAAGCCCGACCACCACGTCAAGGTAGCAACAACGGTCGGGGCAACAACGGTCGGGAAAGGCCAACTCGTCCTAATATAGGACTTCTTAACAATATACACTCACTATTCCGTCACTTAGGATTGAACTCAACATCTTCATTATCAAGTGTAAAAACCTAATCGTCGAATCATGATCTCATGGTGTACTGCTCTAATCTAAATGTTCTCGAAAGAGACTTAAAGGTCTTAGATACTCACTTCTACAGAGCCACATACTACAACAAAACAATTGTTTAGTCACTTCAAGTTCTCAGTGGTTCAACCATCAACCACCACTGGAGCCTAGGGTAATAACCACCAAGCCAGGGTACATACAGTCCAGCACGAAGCCAGGTTCATTCATCATTATATATTTTTGGGTTATGATAATGATCCTTCCGCAGGTTCACCTACGGAAACCTTGTTACGACTTTTACTTCTTCTAAATAGTCAAATTAGGTCATCTTCTCAGTATCAGTCGAGCAGCAAAGTTACTACAACGACACCAATCCAACGACCTCACTAGATCATCCAATCGGTAGTAGCGACGGGCGGTGTGTATCTCAGGAAAATTCAGCAATCTCTATAACCATTGTACTGATTGAATGTTTTTAATTAATTCTTTGTATTTTTTTTACAATTTTTCACAAAAATTACTGGGAAAACAAACACAACTCACAACAACAATGAAATAAAGGGTTACGGTTATAATGCTGGTATTTTATTAATTCATTTAACTAAATTACGAGCAAGAGGTTGGGATGAAATTTGGATGAAAACTGCATTCAATTTAATGAGAGAAAAACGCATTTTACCAACTGGTGAACAAGTAAGCAATAAATTAATTCATTAATTAATAAGTTATAGAAACTAGTTATAGATGCGTTCTTGTTTTTGTGTGCCTGTTTTTTATGTTAGTTTAATTTAGATACAGATTGTAGATCACCAACGTAAATGATGTCGAATGATTAGAGATCTACTCGAGTTAGATGGAATTCGTGTGACGAACCAGATAACTTCGAAGTCACACTTCACAGTCAGCAGCTAACGTGGATTACACCTTCGACGTATCAAAGTACTATGGATACTTTGAAGACCGTATAACACAAAGGACGTTATTATGGAAATATATTAGTAAGAATGAGTACAGAGAGAATAGCGAGACCACCACCACATGCGCCAGTCTATGAAATGCGATTAACTGATGCGCGTTGGTTATCATTGACCTTGACGGGGGTCGATGATCCTTTCGATATTCGGTGACCCAACTACCGGATGATTTGGCTATGTCTCAGTGACATTTCACTGACCCTATAAGATAATCATGTTATAGAGATGAATTTGTCTATATAGTTATATAAATGAGAAGATTAAGAAATGACTACGAAGTTTCATATGACAATTGAATAAAGTTTATACAAATCATCAATATAAATACATCTGACTTTTTGATGAAGATAAAGATCTGTAAGCTATGACCTTAAAAATGGTTTGATTCAATAACATACCTTATTTAATATCTATTTTATCGTTTGGCCTTGAGATACCATGTGAACAATTTGTTTCACTCATCATTTTGATAAATTCATGTATTTGGTGGAAAATTGAATGGTGAAACTATAATTTATGGACGGTCTTTGAACGATGCTAAGATGACCTTGAAAGTGTTCACCTACGTACTAGTGGTAAATGAGGGTTTTAAACCACTGTGATGAATTAGAATTATGATTTACAGTTGATGGTTAAGGGTTAGGAATTAGATTTAGGGTTTTCATTATGAATTGGCATAAGCTATAATGCTAAAACACTATTTAGCGAAATGAATGAATGAATTTCGTGCCAAAACCCAAGATCTGTTATCTTAAATCTGATTAGTTCATCCATAAATTATAATATCGCCCTCGTATCGAAGTCAGATTTTTGTAGGATACTGTTTACAACAAGTTTACAGATTGATCTTACATGACCCCAGCCAAGTAGTCTGCATCTACCAACATGGCTTAAACCAGAAGTTAGTGACTTCAAGCACTGATGCCACGTTTTGGTTTGACCGCCCCTAACTTTCTTCCAACCATTTCCAATACCGGATAGCATTGCACGTCGTGGTAATCGGTGTTCAGGCATACGTAACACGTGGCCCAACCATCTCAGTCGATGAAGATTCATAACCTCATCAACTGATTTACCATCATTCCCTAATACCCTGCGTCTAACCTCACTATTACTTACCCGGTGATCCCAACAGATGCCAGCAATATTTCTAACACATCTGTGACCGAATACTAGTAAGTTACGGGTATCTTCTTCTCTTAACGGTCACGGTTTCGTATCCGTGAAGTAGAACAGAACGAACTGCCGTGCAGTATACTGGTACCTTAATTGATAGATGGATATTTCGCCTTCGCCATAGGTGACGTAAGTTGGAAAAAGCCAAATGAGCCTTTTGAATCCGTGCTGAAATTTCGTCAGACACCAACTCATTAGGGCTGATCAGAATTCAAAGATAAGTGAAGTTGTCCTTAGTTCAGGTTTTGACGCAGGTCATTCCTGGAAGAACAACTTGCATTTAGAGGGAGAGTAACTCATCCCAAACATCCAGGCATTCTTGCTCAATTAAAACGTAATTCATTAAACAGAATGTAATCTACAAAACTTATCTTGTCCAACTTTTATGACATTTCATTTTGTTCTTGTATTTAATATTTTGTAAATAAGCAATTGATTTTATTCTACTGACTAGTGGTATTGAGTCATACTTCAACAAAATGGGTTGGTTCACTCATCATCTGCGCTGCGTATCACTTCGTATAGTTTCGCTTAATTTTTCTGATTGTCTTCCCGAATCAACGAGTGTGCGAAATATATGTATTTGCAATTCATTTTCCTATTTGGCTCATTTCATTACGTTATTCTCTAATGCGAGTTAAGTCTTCAGAAATGTACGACGCTTGATGGCATGTTTATTTCGATAACAATCACCATACGATTTAACTGGAGTTAGATACAGAGCCATTAAATGAATAATTCATTTACGATCGTTCCGTACCCACACTTACATCGATCTTATCATGTGGCCCCCAAGGCATCACATAATTTGTTTGTTTTTAATTAACTATTGATCTGTAAGTTAATTAACTGAGACACAAGCTAACTATTTGATCAATTAAAACCAAATGTAATAGAATATTATGCAACATATAGTACCATTCTCTATAATATATGCGAATGGGTACATATATGTAAAACACAGATCAATTATAACAGTTTTAATTCAATTAAAATTTTAACCAATTACATTAATCGATGGCTGCATGTCAGCTAATTTCATTACCTAATTCGTCGTGTGTGCTACTGATGTCAACAGATATAAGCAGTATGTAGCATCGATCGAAAGTGAAATACCTGATGCCTGAAGGTTAAGAAGATTGAAGAGAGGAGAATGAGAACAGAGCTTGATTAGTATGGAAACGAAGAAACAACGCAATCTGAGATAAATGATAGATATTTTGCAAATGAAGTATTTATTGTGTACTTCTCAGATCTTACTAAGAGATTCTGTAATGTTACATTAAACTGCATATGGTTATCCCCACAATGTTCTTGTTCACTACAATCCCACCACTCAAGTACTTAAAAAAACCCATTACTATAACAGTGGTTGACACGAGTTCGAATCTGTCAAGTAGTAAAATTTATTTTATTACTTCGACTACAACATATATATCTCAATCCTGTAACAATTTGATGCATAAGTCAAATAATTACTGTAACCCAAATTATTTTTTTCTTACAGGATGTTATTAACGCTGTATTGAATCGAAATAAACGTTGGTTATACGAGATACCTTGTAAATGGAATATTCAACTAAGTGCATTTTCAATACGTGAACGTTGTCCAGTTGTATGGGAATTTTTACTGAATAGGGATGATGATGATGATAATAATAATGATAATAATAATTACATACGAAAAAAAACACTACGTGACGATATTGTATTACAATATCCAAATGCTAAATTAATACATTTTAATGCACATGTAAAACCAGAGTACTTTTTTCCTACTCCATTAAGATTTCCATTACCTTTTGATAAATCCGATGAATATCATTCAAGTAAGCAGTAATAATATTGTATTATATATTCATGATTATGTCTATTAATTAATTATTTAAATAGTTGTTAATAAACTTAAAGCAATTATAATCACATTGGGGTCGTGGATCCGAATCTCGTGAGACGGATATTATAGTAATTTAAGAGTTTGATTCATAAGTCAATTGAAGCTAGACCGCCATGGAAAACCTGTTGTGACTTTATGTCCGGCTTTTGATCACGTGATTTATCCACCAATCAGAATACAACTTATACAATCTTAGCACTGTGCCAAACCAATGACGTTCGACCGGTATGAGCAGCCTAGCGTCCTTAATGGTCCTATGTCCGCCTATCCCGTCCACTTGAGTCCAGAACACTAGTACCAGCTTCCACTATGCGAATCGAATCGAACCATTTATTTCAGACATACTGGGTTTATATATCAACCATACATATCGCAACGCACCATAAAATAGGAAATAACATTTGTACACAATAAAACCAAAAAGTGACTGTGAACGTGGGAGGCAGTAGTCAATAAACTGACTATAGATTAAGAACATTAAATCGTACAAGAATAAATTATAGGTCAAAATAAAGCTTATAATAAGAGGAATATAAATATACATAATTTAATTATTGAATAATTATACCATAAGAATGTATAGATAATATTAGTCAATTAATATGTCTCAGAAGTTACTCGTGATTTAATCTTCTCTCGGATATAACAAAACCTGTAAGCACTGGACGGTTGTTTCGTCCTAGTATGAGACTCCTCACCAGTGGAGTTCAAATATGTCTGTTGTGAGATAGTAACTCACTGATGACAATGGTTAGTGTAAGAATTAATATGAAGCTTAATATGATGCACATACGCCAAAATGAGACTGATCAATTGCAGTCCTAAATAACAATGGGAAGATACAAGTAAAACAACACCAAGTGAATTAATATGAAGTATTGTTAAACTAGCTGCTTATAGACAATGGTTTGCCCCCAGATGCCCTGGTATGGCCGAGAGTGGGGACAGTCCGCTCTCCCTCTCGAAATACTCTCACACGGCCGCGTGTATATAGCCCCTGCCAGGGAAGTCCTACTCATTGCCTTCTCACACCAGGGGTGTTGTTTACGAAAATGAGAGGATGAAAAGCGAATGTCCGGAGCTTTAACCGGATCACAAACCAATGGTGCACATGGGATCCAGTATCCTGCGGGAACAAATGGCGTATGAACCAATTGTTGGTCACCGGCTTCCATGGAACTGCATCTCCTTACGATGCTCCACTGTCTTGTGGATCAGACCTTCAGGTCGAAGGCTCGGGGAGTGGCCCCCTAAGAAAACCACCTGCTTCGGTTTGGGCACCCGGCCAGTATCACAGCCTTCACACATATCGAATGAGATTTGTGTGGCGCATATGTATTTGGTGCCTCCTTGTACCAATGTCTATGTGTTAAAATAAAATAAATAAATAAATGGTAATTAAATTTGAGTAATTTTACTTGATTCTTAATTTCATTCATCAGTATATAGGATATCGATGTTAGCAGTCTATTAACTAAACTATAAAAGAACATATCTCCCTATTAAATCTGATTTAATTCAGATTTATTTGGTCGAAATATATATAACTGATGTTATTCAACTAAACATTTTCAATCCAATTAGAATTGAAGAAGACAGGTCGTATAAATCATGAGAAAGTATCCAATAAATTAATAATCTCATCGATACGAAGAGTTCAGATTCCCTTTCTTAATTTATTATTAAAGTTCTAATATGATTACAAAATACACTTTGCCAACTGAATAATTAGGAGTATTCCATCAAGTTACACTGTTGTCCGGTTCATATAATTTTGTATACCCTATCTATATTACTGGCCCAAAATTCTATGGAAGTAGGAAAGCCGTAAATAACTAGGAAATTGTAATTGACAAACCGAATAAGGTGTACACACTTTGCTAGTACATATGAATCTGTTCTTCTGACATGAACAATGGCATATGGTTTCAGACCTTAACTAAGTATATATTCAGCTTAATCTAATAACGTATACTTTAATGTTATCCATTACCTATCGCTTAGCTTTGTGACGGTATATGAGCACAAATACACGGTATCCTTGGTGTTGCACAGCCTATCACTTAGCACATGGATGGTATAGATTTGTTTGACACAAAGACTAACTAAGATCAAAAATCAGTGCACAATATGGACTACAAGACTAATGTTCTAATCAGTTTCTGCAAGTATAAGTTCGTAAAGATTGTTGGATTTTATTCAAAGGTTGAATCGATCTAAGTTATACCATAGTTGAGAACCTGTAAACATTACATAAACACTGTTGAAAACTTCCATACTGTGATGAAACTTCTATCCAGTGCTTCTAGGTTTTCAGTCTTGATCTATCTTGAATCCATTCAGGATTTCAGTAAAAAAAAATTTCTATCTAAAATTTTATATGACTATAAGGAACTGAAAGAAATATCTTTTCACTCAATTGAAATCAATTGAATTCATTTCATAACACATGATCAATCCATCATTCATATGAAACAAAACAAATATATGACATCTTGCTCTGTAGTTATAATATTTCAATTTGGTCAGTCAATAATATTTGTAATTTTAATAGTTGAATTCATGAAGTCGTCTATTGAAGCTAGACGACCATGGAAAATCTGGAAAAAATAGACGGCTATTTCGTCCCAGTATGGATGAAACTCCTCACCAGTGGTTTTGAGACTGATAGGTCCTGGATTCGAATCTGGCGAGGCGGAATCCTGGGTGCGCACTGTTGAGGAGTCTCATATACTAACACGAAACGGTCATCCAGTGCTTCCAGATTTTCCATGGTGGTTTATCTTCAATTGACTCATGAATTCAACTTTTAAAATGACTATAATATCCACAAAACCCCTCTCCGTTAATATTATTTGTATTTGTTGTTTGTATTTTCAGCTATTCAATTATCGAGGAAATATTTTCAATTGTATTATCATTTACGAAGTATGAGTCGATATTGTTTCCTGTAAAAAAAGAATGATCGAAAAACACCCGCTTATTATTATTATTGAAAACTGTATATTTTCTAGAATTTTTTCTTTCAGTATTGTAGTTTCATATCGGTTTTTCAAGTTTTCTACTTTGATTAAGTAAAATAAATTAAAACATTGAAGTGAACAACTACGTATTTTGACTAATTCAAATTGGTATCAGTTAATGTGGAGTATGAATGTCAACTTATTTATTATATTTGAACAAAAGAGGTCTGAATACAGATGCATTACACAAGTCAATTGATTTGTGTATAGGTTGTGATACTATTCAGGTGGTTTTCTTAGGGGGCTACACCCGGTCTGATTCATAAAACAGTGAAGCAACTTCAGGATATGTAATCTCATGATAACCGATGACCAATAATTGGTTCATAGTCTATTTGTTCCTTCAGGATCCTAGAGCCAGCCTATGTACACCATTGGTTTGAAATGAGGGTTTTCCTATTCCCCTAGATGGAGTGTGCGTGTCCACTAACCCGGTTAGATCTCCGGACATTCGGTTTTCATCCTCTCAATTTCGTAGACAACACCCCTGTGGCGAGAATGCAGTGAGTAGGACTTCTGTGTTAGTGGCTGCATATGGGTGGCCATTTGGAGATGGAGAGTTGACTCTCCCTCCCCACCTTCGGTCGTACCAATACACTATCCGATAAATGCATAAGTTAGCAAATGAATTTTATTTTCAGAAAATGATCGTAGTTTCATCATTACTTGTTGTAAAACTTTATATAATTCAGATTTAGTCAGTTAGATATAATCAACATTGAGCCGGATACAGATGTACACTATCCGAAGTTCTTTTATCACAATGATACGGTGATATGAAGTTAACAACATCAATATTAAAGGAGTTAAAATAGTGTAAAAGACTGAACATTAAAAATAAAGAAACGAAGAGACAGAGTGGAGATGTATGTAGAAAGGACTACTTTAGCTCAAGATCTAGGGGGAGATAAACAATAAATGCATTTGGACTGTTATGTACAGTTATGAACAATTTCACTCAAAATCTTCAGTCAATTATCATGGTTATCTCGCTAAACTTGATCAGGTAGTTTGCATCAACCAGAAGGCTTAGGTCAATGTCAAAAACGTCATGGACTTCTGCTATCTTAGTTTGGCTACTCCTTAAATTTTTCCAACCTACTTCTGTTGCAGCAAACATTGCTCATATAATTTGCAGTTTCGTTTCAACACGACTTACATGTTATAAATACATTCTAATGAACTGATATTAACAAATATTATTACTAGTTTCCATTTACCTCACATCTTTCAGGGAATCTAGATTAGTATCCGTGTTTACTATTACCTATTATCTACAAAGATAAGATTTATTGAAAATATATGACACCATCGCGAAAGTAAGCTGTCAAACTGTTATATATCTTGATGAGACTATAGTTTATGAAAGATATTTGAACGAAGCGAAGTGATCTTGAGACAACTCATCTAATTACTAGAGTCAAAAGAGGCCAATAAATTAGTATGAGGGATTAAGATTAGGATTTAAAGTTATAATTCATACCGATAACATCCTAACATATAGCAATAAGACGTAGTGTACACGAAGCGGAATAATTAAGATTAGTGGGCATATAAGCAAAGATGTATAGTGACTAACGGTCCTACAGTAGCCGGTGAGGAAAAATAGGTTCACACTCGATTAGTCCTCTCAGGATTCTGAAGCCCATGTGCATCATTGGTTTGGAAACAGGATTTTCCAGCTACCCTAGCTGAATGCTCCGTGACCACTAATTCAGTTTAAGCGTTGAATATTCGCTTTTCGTCCTCTCAGTTTCGTAAAATACAACCCGCTATGATAAGGCAGTGAGTATGGCTTTTCTGGCAGTAGAGTGAGGTCATATGAAGACGTCACAATAGTTAGAACACACTCTCCTAGGCCCGACAGTACTGCTGCATTTTTGGAGACAGTCAATAATCGACAACCAGAATTATCATATTTGTGTTGTATTCAATAGATCATTAACTACAACTTAAGATACTACTTTGAAATCGAATCATTGTTTATTTAGGCTACTAATATATTATATTATGTGTGCTACTGATGTCGACAGATATAAGTAGTATGTATCATCAATCAAAAGTGGAGTGCCTGGAGATAAGGTGAAGAAAATCAAGGAAACGAGAACAGGAACAGTGAGTGATTGGTATGGAAACGACTAAAAATACGAACTCCTAATTTTTATTTCCTAAAAATCTTTTTGTACAACACACTAAATGTCTATTTATTAAATCACTTTGATATATAGTTTACACTAAATAACTGATGTTATTCAAATATGAGACGGATATACTGCTCATCTTAGGACTTAAAAAAATAACAACAGAAAATTAAGTACATTGAAGTTTCAGTTAATCCATTTATTCATTGTAACTGGAACATAATTATCCAATGCACAGGTTCAAGTTCCCATAGTATATCAGAATTACGAGTAGAAATTAACAAGATCCATAGTAATAGATCAATCAAATTAATAGTAGTAGCAATGATAATATATCAATAAATATTAAGGGTCTTTTTACAAAACCAAGAGAGTTTTCCGAGAGACAAAACATTTTGGGGTTTTCGTCTCTTTTTATTTACTCCTTTGACAATCACTTCAGTGTCATAAAACGTCGGAAATCTAATTTTCTACTTATTGAAATTCTACCGATAAGTCCAGGGTTCGAACCTCACGAGGAGGGATTATGGATGAGCACTGCTGAGGAGTCCCACAATAGGACGAAACGTGTGCTCAGTGCTTCCAGATTTACCGTGGTGGTCTACCTTCAATTAATTCATGATCTCAACTATTAAAATGAGTATAATATCCACAAAACCCCTTCTGATACTAAATATATTTTTATATTTATTGTTTGGCTCTTTATTAGCAGGAGATCAAAACATAATCTATATTTGTTACTGTTACCAGTTTTGAAGCATATTACTAACAAACATAGATTACACTTTCTGATTAATGGTCTGACTTAATAGACGGATGCAAATTCCAAATGTTCGCATCCTTATCTTTACACAAAATCAACTTTATACTAGCCTACCTTTCACGTTGATTTGGGAAGTGAATATACGTAACGCATGTCTGAATTTTTAAGTTGACGAAAGTATACAGCCTTATAATCTCTACTTGGTAATATACGCCTAACCTTAATAATACTTCGTTTCATATTTCGTGGGACGTAAACCGTGGTCAAATATATGTATTCTGAACGTAATTTTTATGTTTAAACTTCATATTTCACAACCATAAAGTAACGTGAAGTGAACTTTTATTCAGAGTAATTGCCCATTGTTGGGAAGACGAACAAACTTTCCTGTTTACAAGCCGAAATCCAATTGACCAATCGGTAAATACGACGTTAGCAAAGTTATTTATAAATCCTGATGAGTCATACAAAATTGTCATAACTGTAATCAATCATACGAAGTTGCCAGAAAATATATATCATAAAATGATATTCCTAGTGTAGGGCCAGTGAAATGTCACTGAGACCATAGCCAAATCATCCGGTAGTTGGGTCACCGAATATCGAACAGATCATCGATCCCCGTCAAGGTCAAGGACAACCAACGCGCATCAGTTAATCGTATTTCATAGACTGGCGCATGTGGTGGTGGTCTCGTTATCCTCTCTGTACTCATTCTTACTAATATATTTCCATAATAACGTCCTTTGTGTTATACGGTCTTCAAAGTATCCATAGTACCTTGATACGTCGAAGGTGTAATCCATGTTAGATGCTGACCGTGAAGTAAAACTTCAAAGTTATCTGGTTCGTCACACGAATTCCATCTAACTCGAGTAGACCTCTAATCATTCGACATAGATCATCTAGTTGGTTATCTACACTAGAAACAGATAACTAAGCTGATATATTATAAGACTACTATCAAATTTCATAAGTAGCTCAAAAGAGTTAACAAAAAAAACAAACTAAACGAAATTTTTTCTTTAATCAAAAATAGCCATTTCATAGTAGATAATCACAAGTATATATCAATAGGAATGAATGGAAACTAGAGGAATTCAAGATTCATAACATACTACTGAAATGAATATTAAAAAAAGGGAACAAAATTGTAATCAGCTGAAAAAGAATAAATCAACGTGATTAATATAAAAAAATAATTACTCAATATAAAAATACATAACTGTTTGTAAACAATAAGTGTTCTAATGTAAATAGATGTTTATTATTACTATGATTATTATTATTTTATTACTCTTCAATGAATTGAAATGAATCATGATTTTAAAAAATACAAAAAAATAGAAGAAAACAATCAGACCAATAGGTATACAAACAAACATGTCGTCAATGGTTATACTTATTGTATCCAATAAGAATCTTTCATTATTTGAATAGTCACTAAGTGAATAATAATAATAATAACTAAGTAACGGGATTTTATGTACATGTAACTAGGACATTAGAATATTATAACGAAAGAAAGAAAGAATTACAGAAAGGAAAATTTTTTTTTTAAAAAGGCTCTCCAAATTTCCAATAATTAAATCTTCCACAAAATTGAGGATAGTTTTGAAAAGATAAAAGAGGAAACAGGAAGACTAATCGTGATCATACTTGTTCTTCTTGTTCTTCTTCTTCATCATCATCATCATTATCATCTTTCAAGAACCATTCTTTCATTCTTTCACATTAATCATTCAAAATATAATTAGAATTGAATATAGTTTGAAGAGAAACAATATGGTTGAGAATGTTTTTAATGGATAATATTTAATATGGAATGGGTTAATATTATTGATTATCATTTTGATTGGTAATAATATTTTGAAATTTTGGTGCACCATTATCAGTAGTCACTGAATTAGTAGTATTAGTATTTTTCATGTAAGTTAATCGACCCCATGGTTGAATTTCACCGCTTGTCAACCATAAATTCATTAATGCACCAAACCATGCTATTCCTGCAGCTATACCGAAAACAATCATCCAATTTTGAATGCTTGACTAAGGTAGAGAGAGAAGAAAGAAGAAGAAGAAAAAGAAGATGAGCGAACGGTAATGGAAAATGTATAATAAACGATTAATCAAATGGACTTTTACAATCCTTAACAACGGAGTGATTAAAGCATTGATGATC